TGTGTGCCGTTGGCAGTCTCTAGTTTATATTATTTTTATACATCTGAGACCTATGCTATTGCCTAAAAATAGCATGATAGGTGACCTTTAAGTTTATTGTATGTTTCACTGTTAGAATAGCCTGACATTTCATTTTTAATCTTGATCTAGACTAACTTTTACATGATGAATACAATTTTTTTTTATTGTAAAGTCAAATGTAATTTGTAATTTGAATGTCCGTTTTGTGTTTGTTTTGTAGGTGCGGATGAAGTCCATGTTTGCCATCGGCTTCTGCTTTACCGCTCTGATGGGAATGTTCAACTCCATGTAAGTATAACATGTCATGATATCGGGTTAATGTAACATTAATGCCTTTTGATTAAAAAAACGAAATAAAACAGAATTTCATGTGGTGATAGCCTACACTTTTTTATGCTGAAATTGTTCAATTTCTTCAAACATGCCCTTGAGCTCTAATCTTTTTTCTCCTCTTTTTTGTTTTGTTCAGCTTTGATGGGAGAGTAGTGGCCAAGTTGCCGTTCACACCGCTGTCCTACATCCAGGGACTGTCGCACCGCAACTTGCTGGGCGAGGACTACACCGACTGCTCCTTCATTTTCCTCTACATCCTCTGCACCATGTCCATCAGACAGGTAACTGCTACACCTGGACAACATTTATTTAGAGTGTAACAACGTCATTCGCATTGTTCAAATAAGTACGTAGCACTTTTAATGAGCAGCAGAAGGAGACATACAATTGGCAGCCTTAGGTGTGGGTGTTAATCCCCTTTTTTAATAGCAGCTGGTGACACCAACCAGCTGGTACAGGTCATCCAAACCTCATGATGATAAACCAGAGAAGAAAAAACAAGACAAATATCCTATTCTTTCCTTGCAACAATCCACATAAGTGACCAACAGATTTACACATCAACAATAGTAGAAAATGCATGTGAGTACATTAGGGCTGAGCTCGACTAAAGACTTCTCTAAATAATCAGCATCACACTACGCCTGGTTAGTGTGTAGGTCTCTTTCTAGTCACTTTGTAATCTAAGCATTACTGCTTTTAACAACTTTATTTTCTACACCGTAGGGCTGTGCGATTATGGCAAAAATCATAATCACGATTATTTTGGTCAATAATTGATATCACGATTATTAAAAACAATTATCCATTTACTTTGAAAACATCAATTTATTGAAAAAAAACTGTGAACAATATGTTTTTAACAGTTGATTACCCTGAACTTTAAGTATAATTCAACTGAAAAACCAATAAAAAAAAGAATTACATTTTTTTAAAATAATAATCGTTTTATTTCGATTATGTTGTTTTCGTAATCGTTGCAAGCCAAAATTGTAATCGAGATTAAAATACGATTAATTGCACAGCCCTACTACACCGTACTCGCCATGAACTGGTTATTTCTCTGGCCCCAGCCTCCGATGTAACCCTCTGACGTATTCAGTTCTTGGTTTTTGTCATTTTTTTGGTTCCAAATGCAAACCAGTTTTCGGGGCCGAGAGCCGACCCCACCAGGCGGAAACACGAGAAACTGGTTTGCAAAAGGGCACTAGCGCCTGGAACCCGTGTGGTGAGAGAGGGGTTTGTGACGTCAGGGCTACCGGCCTGTCCTGAGTACTCCCCTGGCCAGCTGTGATGATCAGGGGGGGGGGGCGCAGGTAGTGGTCTGCTTCACCATGTGGAAATGGAAAGTGTGCTTGAGTGGCGGGGCAGGCTGTGGAGGGCATAGCTGTCTAATAAAAATAATGTTTGACCTGTGATGCATTGATTTATGTTCCGTAGGGCGAAGGTACATTCAGACAGACGGAAAGACAGATGTGAGAAATAGAAATACAGTATTGGCCACAATATTGCACTTTTAGTCGTTCATCTCTTATTATGTTGACTATGATGTTTCATAGACGTATAAGCGACCCGTTCATACTAGTGTACATGGATGCATGTCAGTGCATTGATAAACGACGGAACTATATGTCAGTGAATTAGTGTCATTCAATTTTTTTAGCAATACAAGACATAACAACAAAGTGTGCCAGAGACACCTAACCCATTCTCATGGGAATAAAACAAAAATACAGATATATAGAAGTTTTCATTTTGTTTTTCCTATTGAAAACACATTCCATCGTTTAGTGAGTATCTATGAAGCAGATCTGAGTTGAAAATTGTACAGACAATTTTCTAGTGCCATGTTCACCACAATAAATAAAACTTATCAGCCCCTGTGCAACAGGACATTCCTGATTTAGATTTGAGTTGTTTGTGTTTACACACACCTAGAAACTTAATCACAGTGTCCAGAAAATAGAATGTTTTCTCCTTTTTGAGAGTGTTGTTGTTCTGTGTCCTCTCTCCCAGAACAATTCAGAAGATGCTCGCCTTCGCGCCCTCCAGAGCTGCCAACCAAGACAGGCCGCGAGGCTTCTGGGACCCCCCCCCACAAGCAGCCAAGTTCTCCTAACCATCCAGACGGGTCTCACGGTGTGCATCCTGGAGACACGGCTCCCTCCTCAGATCACAGAGCACAGCACAAACGGATTCTCGGTTGCAGCTCTGTTTTCTCTGCCTTCTGTTGGATTCCTCACCATGTTTTGTTTTATTTAACTTTAACATAGTCCTTAACTTAGAAAATTTGTTCTTAATGATTACCAAAGGATACAAAAGTCTAACCTTGTATTCAGCTCATGCCATACATT